CCGCTCTGTACACTGCGCTGTACATTATATACTCTGCACGCTCCGCTCTGTACACTGCGCTGTACATTATATACTCTGCACGCTCCGCTCTGTACACTGCGCTGTACATTATATACTCTGCCCGCTCCGCTCTGTACACTGCGCTGTACATTATATACTCTGCACGCTCCGCTCTGTACACTGCGCTGTACATTATATACTCTGCACGCTCCGCTCTGTACACTGCGCTGTACATTATATACTCTGCCCGCTCCGCTCTGTACACTGCGCTGTACATTATATACTCTGCCCGCTCTGTACACTGCGCTGTGTAATGTATACACTGGCCGGGCTCTCATTTCTGGACCTTGATGCTGAATTATTGACGGCCGGTATTCAGGAACCCGATGAGATCAGATCTGGCCGTTGTCATAACCAAATAGTTTTCAGAAGTTCAGGTCATCTTCATCCCGACTCCTCCGGGACACCGTACAGCTTGTCGTACTCGGTGACATATAAGAGTCCAGTTCTCGGACTGACACCGGAACAAACTGCGTCCTTCATCTTCCTGACGCTTCCCAGGTCACTGGCGGCCCCTCTATCTCTACACTGACAGGTTCTCTTTGCTCAGCTGTTCCTATGCTTGCTGTGAAGTAATTGGTTTCTAGGCTACAAAGGGTTAAACTCCCCGAATGCCAAAGCGCGGACCCGGCACTGCGATGATGTCTCGGGACCCGGAGTGCCGGGGGGCCCCGTCACTGGGCTCCACATGTTGCAGGGATGGCAGCGGAAGGGTTAATCCGGCAGTGTGAGCGGAGGGGTCGGCGCGCAGCTGGCGGATCGCTAATAAGCTGGAGCGCCGGACTGATGAATGCAATAATTACTGTGATTATGGCTGCCCCCTGAGCGGGGCCCTGTGCCCCCCGGGCCCCTCCTCCCCGCTGCAAAATAGTGATCCCATATTAGCGGGATATCCAAATATCTCCAATTAACCCTTCAGTGCTCAATAAGAAGTGTGATCAGCATACAAGTATAGAGAGCCCCGTGCACGGCTTTACTATCAATTCTATACATCCCACCGCGGCCTGCGCCCAATCCAGAACACCGATAATACCAACTCAATAGATATATTATATGTAACGCCGTGTATCACCATGTAACACCACCATGTAACGCCGCATATCACCATGTATCGCCGTGTATCACCACGTATCACCATGTATCGCCGTGTATCGCCACGTATCACCGTGTATCGCCACGTATCACCATGTATCGCCGTGTATCGCCACGTATCACCGTGTATCACCACGTATCACCATGTATCGCCGTGTATCGCCACGTATCACCATGTATCGCCGTGTATCACCACGTATCACCATGTATCGCCGTGTATCACCACGTATCACCACGTATCGCCGTGTATCACCATGTATCGCTGTGTATCACCATGTATCACCGTGTATCACCGTGTATCACCACGTATCACCGTGTATCACCACGTATCACTGTGTATCACCACGTATCGACCTGTGTATCACCATGTAACGCCGTGTATCACCATGTAACACCACCATGTAACACCGCATATCACCATGTATCACCGTGTATCACCACGTATCACTGTGTATCACCACGTATCGACCTGTGTATCACCATGTATCGCCGTGTATCACCACGTATCGCCGTGTATCAACATGTATCGACCTGTGTATCACCATGTATCGCCGTGTATCACCACGTATCGCCGTGTATCACCATGTATCACCACGTATCGCCATGTATCACCACGTATCGCCATGTATCACCACGTATCGCCATGTATCACCACGTATCACCATGTATCACCACGTATCGCCACGTATTGCCCTGTATCGCCACGTAACACCACGTATCACCATGTATCACCACGTATCGCCCTGTATCACCACGTATCGACATGATGTGTGATGATAAATGTCCCCGATTGACGGAGTTGAATGTTTCTCTATAAATGATTCTTCTCACACGGAACAATCTTCAAAGATTCAATCCAGTGGCAGGAAGGGACTTGGCTGGGGAACGTTCCGGAGAGAGAAGCGGATGAAGACATTGTCAGGGGGAGTCATGTGATCTCTGTGAGAGGGAATAAACACCCGGAGGGGTCACATGACACATCACATAACACACACCAAAGACATGCTGGAAGGTTAATTGGCTCCTCTCTAAGTTGGCCCTCTATGCATGTGAGATGGGGCCCTTAGATTGTAAGCTCCTAGAGGGGGCGGGGACTGATGCGAGTGTGCACTATGTAAAGCGCTGCGTAAATTGTCGGCGTTATATACCTGTAATCAATAATAATAAGAAATAT